TTGGTATGGTGTCTGTATAGGATGCCCCCAGCTTTGTGTGCTTTATTACACACAATCAAAACCGTCTAGATCGCCCACCTCTAAGAGTTTAATTAGCCCGCTCTTTTGCTGTCTTGTTTAAAGGCTTTCGCATTCATCCACGTGAGAACGAACAATGGTTGGAAGGTTCTCTCGCACAATATTTTAGGGGAATCCATGATTTTTGATGCGATACACTTTACAATGGATGTCTCTGTTGACGTATTCATCCGAAATGGAACTGCCGAGCAATGAATGAATTTGATGTTTCAGAAACCCTTTATGCCTACTGGTTATAGTTTGGAATACTTCGTATGCTTCGCTCAGCTATTGTCCTCGTCAACCAAATGCGCTGTATGGGAATCAATTATTGATTGGTGGATTGACTGTTTGAATTATAATGACCCAATCAATCCATGAAAACGCCGTAGGAAAACGTAGGAAGACAAATTTTCAAAACGATTACTCATCCTTAGGCTGGTTACTTCAGGGAAAATCCGCCCTTCAATTTTACATCACATATTCAACCGTCGATGTTTGTCAAGCAACCTTGACACGTATGTATGTTTTCAATTTCTACCTAGATTTCTACTTTGCATGAGGACAAATTCTGACCTTTCTGTAGACGTTCGCAGTAAATTTATTCTGAAGACCGTGAAGCGGTACATTGGAATTATCCCGAACGGCACTGCCAAATACACCACAACCAGGACCAAATCCACGGGAAGAGGGCCGAGTGAGCAAGTGATTTCGATGTAGCAACAAGGCCTAATTTTTCAAAACGCCACACGTTAGTCGATTATCCTACCGACTAACAAATTTACAAGCAGGTTGACAGGAGACCAATGCTGATTGCAGCTGCATGATAGCGAATGCATTGCTGGAAACTGTTGAACCCTATTTGTTAGTATTTCTTCTTCCCACACGTTTAGGCTTAATTTGTGCACCGATTTCCAGCTTCCCGCAATAATCTTAGGGTGAATAATATGGGGACACCCGCAGCAGTTTCCGAGATGACTATACCCGACAACCATTGTTTAAGCTGAGCTTTTGCCACCAATTTTAACAACCGAGTTCCCACATCTGCATATGGATTTCAAGGATGTGTGTTGGACATTACCAGCATTACAAATCGCTTACACGACTTGCTTGGGTGTGTATTTACGCACGTTCATACTCGTTAGGGCCGACAGCTGTGAGGCCGCCAAGTGATTGTCACTGGGACAGTTCCGTTTCCCGCCTTGTCGGACGTTGATGAAGCGTGCTTGTTCCTGTTTATCACAATGTGAAGAGAATGGAGAGTAGGTCAAGCCTTCTCTTACTGGAGATTTTCTGTCTGATAGGAATGCCTTGATATAGTACACATATTTTCCCTTGAACACCGTAGGAATCAAGTTTGTGGAGCAGCGTGACGTGTGGCCCCGATCAAATGTTTTTGAGAATTCAAAATAATATGGCATCTGATACGAGTCCTTCATCCTTGGCTTGGGTAAGCTGTCGATATACACAAGAATGTTCGTCACGTAAGAACGGTTTGGGTGAAATCCCTATTGGGCTGGATGTATCAAGTTGTTGGAAATAAGGCTATCCATGACAACTTGATTCTGAATGCGTTCCACTCCTCGCACGGCAGGCTAGCGAGGCTTATGGCCTATAGCTCCCAGGCGATAGTCGGTCATTAGCTTTGAAGATTGCCGTGACAGTCGCTTCAAT